AAGACACACAGACCCCCAAGATTGGTTTTGGATTGCAGGAGAAGATAATGTGGCGGACATTATATCAAGAGGTACTGATCCTAGTGAGTTAAAGGAGATGAAAGCATGGCAATGTGGCCCAGAGTTTTTAAAAATGGTCCGTAGAGGAGTGGTCAACGTCTCAGAGTTGTGGAAGTCAGGAACTCCCAGAAAGAGTTAAAGTAGTGCTGGCTGCCGATGTTGAACCAGTAGTGACACTGACAAGCCTTTTGAATCCAAAGAAATTTGGTGATTGTCACAAACTCATGAGAGTGACTGCCAGAGTTGTAAAGGCATGCAGTATAAGAAGCTTGAAAGCGTTGGTGGAAGACTTGTCAGTAGAGGATTTGAAGAAAGCAGAGTGTTTGTGGGTTAAAGAGCTTCAAAAGCCCATGTTGACTCTACTAAGAGAAAACAAGTCAGAATTTGACAAAAAGTATGCCACATTGGGCCCCAGACTGAGAGAAGACGAGGTTATAGTAGTAGGCGATAGAATCAAGAACCACGTACATTTTAGTTACAATCATGAAACTGTACCGTTGTTGCCATGTGATCATCCTGTTACCAGATTAATAGTTGAAAACGTACACGCTAAAGGACATACAGGGATATCAGCAACAGTTGCAAAGGTAAGATCACACTACTGGGTGATTAGATTGAGGCAACTAGTGAAGCGTGTAAAGCATGATTGCATCCCATGTAGGAGATTTGAGAAGGAAGCGGCGGGGCAGCAAATGGCGACCCTCCCCATCCACAGGTTGAAGCCATCTCCACCATGGGCTTACATCGGGATCGATTTATTTGGGCCATTTGTGGTTAGAGGAGAAGTGCAGAAGAGAACCAGAGGCAAAGCCTATGGAGTCATTATTAATTGTCTCGTCACACGAGCAATTCATTTGGATATAGCATCAGACTACAGCACAGAAGCATTCTTACAAGTGTTCCGCAGGTTTGTATCAGTAAGAGGATATCCTAAAGAAGTCTATACCGATTGTGGTACGCAGCTCAGTGCTGCTGACAAAGCTTTGAAGAGCTTCGGGGGAGAGCAGGGAGTCAAATGGAAATTTACAACGCCCAACGCACCTTGGCAAAATGGTGTGACCGAGAATTTGTTGAGAGGGGTAAAGAAATCTCTGTTCCATACTATAGGGGAACAAGTCTTATCTATGGCGGAACTACAGACAGTGATGTTTGAGATTTCAAACTTGCTAAATGATAGGCCTCTCGGAAAGCATCCTGACAATCCGGATGAAGGAAAATACTTGTGTCCAAATGACTTGCTACTTGGCAGATCATCGACCAAAGTGCCAGATGGTCCATGGTGTGGACAGGTCGGACCGAAGCAAAGGATACAGTTCATACAGAGTCTGGTAAATAACTTCTGGAAAAAGTGGACAGCAAACTACTTTACAACACTAATCATACGGAAGAAGTGGCATGTTGAAAAACGGAACTTGAAAATAAACGATGTTGTACTAGTGCAGGACAGCAATGTCTACAGAGGAAAATGGAAAATGGGGATTGTTACATCGACGTATCCTGATG